GAGCACTTAGCACAGAGCTCGACACCGAACAGGAGAGACTGAAGGTGACTGAAAGGTCTTTAGGTGTATTCTGAAAACACAGACAGGGAGGGTGAAGGATTATCCACAGATAGGGGTGAGGGGGGTTGACTTCACTGTGGCTCCACAGCAGATAATAATAATCCGTGCATTTGATACAACGCTTTTCACGTCCTCCGAGAGGTCTCAAAGCGCTTCACAGAATATACCGTGGAGCGAATTGACTGTATATTTTGTGGGTGAAACGCGGCAGCCAATTGCGCACAGCAGTGGCCCCACAAACAGCCGTGGATTGGGTGGGGACCAGATTATTGTTGCTTTGATGGTGCTGTTGGCACAGAACTGGTTCATCGACTGATCTGGATTGAGCACCACCACCCCCCTGTGGCACATCAGCTGCAATTCCACATTTAATTGCACAACATTGATGAGATGGGTGCGTTAAAAAGCGCGACTGTGGAACCCGGGGCCGTGAGGAATCCCGATCGAACTCGGGAGCTCAGAGAGCTCACGTTGAAACAAGTGATACCAGCGAATGGCCACGTTTGATCGCCACAAACACCGGGATCGCTGCGAACACTCAGCACCGTTCAGAACGAAGGGCCGCGGACCCGAAACGTCGACTCACTTTCCTTTCTCCGTAGACGCTGCCTGACCTGCCGAGCGCTCCCAGCGATCTCGGGTTTCTGTTTCAGATTCCCAGCGCCCGCAGCATTTTGCGTGTACCACATTTAAGCGAACGTGCACATCGTCAGCCGAGAATAAACACATCCTATCCCTACGTAGAGGACGGCCAGCAAGAATTCTGGTGGGGACGTCCGCAAGTCCATCCTCGTCACAAAGACAAGACAACGTGTTGCGCAGGTTTTCAAGAGATACTTTATCAGTAAAAGGCAAATGGCAAAACACAATGCCAGAGACAGAACACTTCATCGGAAGGTGCAAACCTTCAAACTAGGGAATCTGTACTCCAAAAAAAAACTGTCAGGATTACATGAGTCAAATTATCCGGATACTAAAATAGATACATTTTGCAGATAATTTGCATCGACATCTATATGTTCGCACCCTGAAGCTCCAATATTGTATCATATGTTGACTGCATTGATAATAGTCAGTTACGTGTAAAACCGTACATATATGAAGGATAATAAATCTTTTGATAAATGCCGTTTTAACAGCCACTGCTCCAAATGGCTGAGGGGGGGGGGGGGGGGGGGGAATGGGGGAAAGGGTTTGGTGGAATTGGAAATTCATTAAAGATAAAAATACATTTAGGAAAAATGTCAAACTCTCGATTCTGAAGCTAATGGAAGCACAGGATATTGTATACACATCATATCAGATTCCTATACATATTATAGCAGAGATTTCTATACACCTGTATCGAGAGGCTGGAAGAGCAATGAAAAGTTTGGCCACTTCCTTCAATCAGTCTTCAAATAGGAGATCAAACGGGAGTTGAGCCAAACTTATGACCGGTATATGTTTTTAATTCTTTGTAAGAGAATAACGAGTGCTTTCTTTGATTTTGCCCCGGTTCTTGCGAGCGTTTCTGGGGGATATCGCGCCGCCAGGTTGCAGGAAAACGGGAAGCTTCGAGGCAAATTTAGGATCGATGTGTCCGTGCAAAAAAAACATATGGGGAGCATGTTAATTGCAATAGAGGCATTGGCATCGATGCCACTGGCTCTGTACTTGAGCGAAATTGGTTTGGCACAAACAAAATGCAACTCAGCCAGCTAACTCAGAAATATGCGCCGTGAACTCAAAAGCAATTCGTGGGATGAACGATTCAGATACTTAATAATAATAATAATAATCCTCGCCTTTGATATAGCGCCTCATCATGGATGGGATGTTAAACTGAGGTCCCACCTCTGCCTGTTCAGGCGGATGTTCAAAAAGAGAAGGGGAGTCTCTCCCGGCGAAACTAACCAATCCTCCTCCAAATAAACGGGTTCTTTTGTTTCACGGTTGTTCGCGGGTGGCGGTGTGCAATCGGGCTACCGTGCTCACCTACCACCACACAGTCACTCCACTTCGCAGTAAAATCCCGTGAAGCGCTTTGGGACGTCCTCCCGACGTGTCAAGTGCTACACCAAATGCAAAGATTACTATTATTATTATTATTTTAAGTGGGGGGGACACGCTGGCCAGGATACCGGGCAAACTCCATCCCTTGTTCCAATGGTGTCACAAGATCTCTTAAAACATCTACCTAAGTGGGGCGATGGGTTTCTGCGTGCGTCAAGACGCCCGGCTGACCCCTTCCCAAAAAAAAAAAGAACAGAAGAGAAAACTAAAAACAAAGCAAATTTCTTCGGGGGCGTCGTGAAACTTGAGAGGAAAATGCAGGCTGAACCCCCACCAAGATTTCCTCCTCCACTTCCAACTCCAAATGTTCACAATTCATTCCTATTCATCCGGGGGAACGTCCCGCCAAGCCGGGCACTGCAGAATCAAAGAAAGCAAAAACGCACCCAAAATACAGGCGGACACAGACTTTTCCCAGGTTTGGGAATGATATGAAGCCCGGAAAGCGGTCCACAGAGGTTCCGATAACCAACCGGCGAAGTTCAATGCTCAGCTCCGTCTGCGGCTTGTGTGTGTGTGTGTGTGTGTGTGTGTGTGTGTGTGTGTGGCGTCCTTCCCTCTACGGAAACGGAAAGAGGTCTACAAAGGTGCAATTGTAATTACGTTAGCGAGTAGCCATTTGAGTTAATACTGTAAACTTTTACATTCAGTCAACGCTAAAATGAACCTGCCCGAAAAGGTGCAGGTCACAGATACAGAGTCTTCATGTTGTGCATTGTTTAAAACAGTTTCTGCAATCCATTCACTACAGGAACCAGTCAGAACCAAAGCTGTCAATTTGGTTGAAAATCAAAGTCATATCTATTTAAATACTTTCTCTCTTTTTTTAAACAAAAAAAAACTTTTTAAAAAACTCTTATAATTCAAGTATGATATAAAAGCCTTTTCCACAGAAAAGTTTTGTATATTTGAACTACGCTTTCCCCCCCCCCACCCCAATATTAACATATTTCACATTTTTTAAAAACATTTTCTCTTTTTTTTTAAAAAAAACAAAACAAAAAACAAATCAGGTTTACAATACCTTTCCCTTCACCTCCAAAAGCACCTAAGAGTCTAGTTACAATTACATCGATAAGAATGTCATTCAATGAAAGACCAGGAGATCATCTCAAAGTCTTTAGAGCGGGTTAAGAGCAGACAAAAGTAAGGCAGATCCAATGAATTACTAGTTTATATGAGCAGTGAATTCTGTTAATTCTGGACATCCGTATGTAGCACGTTACCGCACAACAATATCCAGAGGAAAACCTCGATGGGCTATTTCCGTAGTCTCAGTGAGTACAGTTTCACAAGAGCACATGGCCATTCGTCCAACGTCAGAAAAGAGACGTGCGCTGAGGAATCATGAACGAAACTAGAATTAGTCCAACCCAATCGGACTGGGAAACGACAATCAGTGGTGGTTCCTGTTATACCCCTCCCCTCACCCCCGCCACCCCCCCCCCCCGCCCGCCCCACCACCCCTCCCTACCCGTGCAATGTTTTAGCAAACGTATCGGCAATGGTCAACTCGCTGAGCAGCTCAGTTAAAACACTCGAAACATTCTCTCCCTGTCAATTGTTATGAAGGTGTTGCTCGTGGCTCACAGGGAAGAGCGCACGGACTGCTGCGTTACCCACTCTTAACACAGCACGTGCCCTCCCACCTTGTCAGCACTGTGTTTGCCCCCCTCCCCGTAAATAAAACTTACGGACATTTAGGTGTAAGCTCTTGAAAAGCCGCATTTCAGTTAAACGTATTAAAAAAAAACATTTGTTATCTTGGGAGTAAGGATTTTTCTTTGCTTGCGTTTGGTGGTGGGGGGGGGATGGGGGAAGGAGGAGATGGTGGGTATGTGTTTGTTGGTTGAAAATACAGGCACTTCATTTTTATCCGCCCAAGCATCCGCACAGTTTCCGAATCTCGAAGAGCTGTGGCGAGCACATACACAGAGGAGTGCAGCAACCGGGCTGCGTTCTCTCTCGAAGAGGAATGCTCTACCCAGGACACAGGCTGCCCATTCCCCCTTTCTCCCCGCACTTTTACCCAAGGAAGGCAATCAGTGACTTCCGCAAGGGACCAGCTCAAATCAGGGACAACGAAAAGGTGGGCGAAGGTTTTTGTGGTTTCTTTTTTTTCCGTGGAGAGGGTGTCGGGGCAGGTGGGGCTGGGAAAGGAAGAGAAATAAATAATAAGGCAGCTGGAAGAGAAGCTTCCGTCAATCCGGAAAGACATTTGCTCAAGCCTGGATGTGCGAGAGAAAGAATCAAACTGGAAGAGAGCCTACATTCTAACGCTGTATATAAAAGCCAAACTGGTTTATGTAAACGCGGGTAGGTGGGCTGGGGAGCAGTGGGTGGGGGTGTGGGGGCAGACAGCGAAACCATGAACCGTCGACAGAAGCGCGACATCTTACACATGGAAAATCGCTTCGATCAGCAAAAAAAAAAAAAAAAAAGAAACGACGAGATGGAACTTGTGACTCGGGTTTATCGCCCGCGCTCCTCGGCTGTTCCACTCGCACCCACACGTTCGGTGCTTCGCCCCAGAGAGAGGGAGAAATTGCCGGCGAGAGCTTTCTCTGGATCCGTCGCTTCCAATGATGACGGCTTCGCAACCGGCCGCTCAAAAACGCACCCCCTCCCCCTCACGCCCCAACCCCTGGCACCAAACGCCCTCGTCTTTCTCTCTGTCGCGCAAATGGCGACGAAAAGGAGATCCGGTCTCTTGGCCCAACCAGAGCTGTAGAAGCGCCCCTCACTGCTGCAAGTCAACCGTTCGGGTTTTTGTTGAATCCACCAGGAATCAACCTCGACACACGAGTCGGCGAATTTCTGTAGAATTCCCTACCCATTTGTTGCTTCCCACCCCCCCCACCCACCACTCCCTCACCCGCCCCATCCATCGCTCTCTCTCTCTCTCTTTGTAGGATTTCAGTCTTTTCATCCAAACCCAGTCTTCGGTTGCTGAAGCTGAAGCTCACGGTCAGTTTCCCTGTTCCCGCGTCTCCGTTAAAGCAAGTGCGTGTCTGCCGCCGGCGCCCTGGGTTCGCAGTTAATCCCCGGACTGCCGCGCGGTCCCATCGCAACCGTTCACAATCGCGACGAAAAACCATTGCACTCGCTTCAACACAGGTCTGTTCTGGTCCTCTCTCCCGCTTCCTCTGAAGATACTTGGCTAACGTCGACAATCCACTTAAGTCCTGCAAGAGAAAACAGCGCCGAGACCATGACACGTTCCCGGAAGCCACACCGATCGTTCATCATCATAATCTTCGCAATGGCTACAGCACCTCACCACGTCGCTGAGACGTCTCCAAGCGCTTTGTAGGATATACTGTATTATTATTATTATTATTATTACTGTAAAACCGAGCGACTGTGGGAGTAGGCGAACACGGCAGCCAATTTGGCGCTCAGCGACATCTCGCACACAGCCACAAAGTGAACGACTGACGTGAGCTCAGGGATTGTTGGCCAGGAACTATAATTCTCTTTTCAGATAGCGGCACTGGAGCGCAAGCCGAGACTACTCAACGTCCGGTGTGGGTTTTTGAACCCACAAGTTTCTGACTCTGGGTGTGTGTTGGGGGGTGGCGGGGGGGGGGATTGGCGGTGAGAGTGATACCAACCGAGCCAGTCTAAAGACAGCTAATCATTCTCTGATCGTAGCTCAAGCGCAGCGTTACGAGGTGCCGACACTCACATTTCAGAATCTGAAACCGAAGCCAAACTTCCCCGAGGGAGTGGTGGACCAAAAATTCCTTCTGTTCTGCATCTTCTGGAAAGCGTTGAAGTTTCTTCTCCTGTCTCGCTTGAACTTTTTCATTTTCTTGACCTAATGCGCGCACAGACACCGTGTTTGTTAACAGGACAGTTAACAGGAGCTGCACTTTACGATGTACAATTACAGGCCAGTTATAAAATGAACAACGAGTGTTTATATGGCGGTCTTTCACGTAGAAGGATATCTCGAAGCACTTAACACACTCAGGAAATCTACTCGACTTGCAAGTTTCCTGCCAGTTTTTAACCCAAATTTGCTATTAAGTCACCAAACAGCCTAGATTTTGAAATCAGATCTAAATCCTGCTGCACTTTGATTGCCGACTGCTCAGCGCCTTGGGAAGTCCTCCTGACGCGAAAGGCGCTTTACAAATGTAATTTTGTTGTTGCTGTTATGATAATAAATCCTTGCACTCGATACAGCACACGTGGCAAGCTGTCGAGACGTCTCAAAGCGCTTCGCAGGGTTTTACTGTGAAGTGTGCAGTGGCGGTATTTTTCGGCAGGTTTAATACGGAAATCGGGCGATTTAAATATTTCCTGGAGACCTATCAAAGGTCTCAATCCTCCAAAAATATGGTTCTGTAGGATAAAACAAGAGGCTTTCTCTTCCCCCGCATTCCCGTTAAAAGTAAAAAGCACGCAGCAGCGGGAATCTTTCTTTTAAAAAAAAAGAAAGAAAAATGGTTCATTCACCAGACAACGACGGAACAAATTTCATTTCAAACCGGTTGAAGCTCTTACCTTCCCCAGGTCAAAATATTCATCCCAATCATCGATCACACAGTTGCTCTTCGCTTGCTCTGCATCGTCTATTGCATTTTGCCTGACGGCTGACACGTCCCCATTCCACGTCAAGACTTAACGCAACGAAACGAAACAAAAGTGAGGGGGAGTGGAAGGAATACCACTGGACTCTTGCGTGCATAACAATAATAATCCTTGCATTTGAAACGGCGCCTTATCAGGCCGTCGAGGTGTCTCAAAGCACTTTGCAGAATACACTAAAGTCAATTGAGTGGATATTTTGTGGGCGAAACATCATTCATAAATAAACAAACGATATAATAATAACCTTTGGATTCGACACAGCGACACCTCGCGGCAATATACCTCAATGGTATCCAGGGATATGGAGCAAAGGCGGGTAAATGGAGTTGAGTTACAGATCGGCCATGGTCTAGTAGAATGGCAGACCCAGGCTCGAGGGGCTGAATGGCCTATTCCTGTTCATATGTGAAGCGCTTCTCAGGGCTTTCTGTGCAGTACAGTGACTACGTTTTTGTGGTAGGTGAACGCGGTAGCCGAGATTTGTGCACAGCGACGTCCCACGCACGTCGATTTGACCTTTCAGTCCAAAAATAAACCGAGGATGGTTTGTGACCCACCTTGGGTTCCGTATGCTGTGTCGTTGGAATGTTTCAGGAGTTCCTGCACTACACTGGACTCCTTCTTCCCATCCCAGGCTAAGGTTGCGACTGGTTCTAGATCCGGTTTGGAGCCAGCCTCGTCTTCCTCAGGCAGGTTGGCTGGACGTCTGTACCCGTCCCTCACTTGGCTGTCCCACTTGATGACCGGAACTGAAATACAGTAAAAAAAAATGCATTCGTTCACTCAATAGCATAGACACACAAAGCGCACTTAAGAGGCATAACATCTCCGAGACCGACCGGATTGGCTGGGGCTCAACACAACTGTTACAACAACTTGCATTTATACGAACACGCCCCCCCCCCTTCATGCAGGGTAGAGTCTCAGAGCGCTTAAAGCATAATACCGATCCCGACAATTTGTCATCGCGCCCGTCAGGCTGGGACGACACGTCCCAAAGCGCTTCACGGGATACATTGGTTGAGTGGTTGAGCACTCGCTTTGCAAGCGAGAGACCTGAGTTCAATTCCAGGCAGAGGGCGAAACCTTGGGCAAGTTTCCTTACTCCACACAGAGCCTAATAACAATCCCTCCAAAACCAAAAACAATAATAAATTGGTCATTTTCAATCCACGACTGTTTGTGGGACATTGCTGTGCGCAATTGGCTGCCGCGTTCGCCCACAAATATACAGTCAATTCACTTTACAGTGTGTTCTGCGAAGCGCTTTGGGACGTCCTCCCGACGTGAAAAGCGCTATATCAAATGCAAGGATTATTATTATTATTATTGCAAAGTGCAGCGTCTGCGTGCTTCGCGGGCGAACGCAGCAGCCGGTCTGTGCGCAATTAGAACGGAGGCACAGTCTTAATAAAGAGCTTCGACGAGCGGGTTAACCCGAATAAATCAGAAGCGGAAGACGTGTGCTTGGAAGTTAAATTTGCCAGGATCCCCTCCCCAACCCCCCCCTTCACAAAAAAAACTCTCCCAGAAGAATGTTTAACGACACAAGCTTGTGAAGCGCCAGCTTGTACCTGCTTTAACAGGCAGGAGCACAACAGAGCTTGGACTTTCATCTAAACTTAGGCTCCGCTTTCGTTTCCTGCATTTCTTCTCTCTCCTCTTGATTGCCTTCTCCTCGTGACTGCTCTCCCCGCGGTCCAGCTCTTCGGGCCTTTGAACTTCTGGTTCGTCCCTCCCCGAGTGATTGCGACTGCACGGTGCAAACACACACGTGACAAATCATTAAAATACAGCCCGGGAAAACACTTTGAAGTGAGCTGAAGTGTTGGGAGCAGCAAAGGGGCAGGTGGGTTTGGCGGGGGGGGGGGGGGGGAGGCGATGGTTGAGGTGGGAAAGAGGTGGGAGCGACATTTGTGTAGCGCCCTTTCACGTCGGGAGGGTGGAGGGGCTCAAAGCGCTTTGCAAAGCTAACCGGGAGCCAGGCCTGGGAATGAAGTGAGGTGAGGGTGGTGGGAGGGTGCGGGGAAGAAGGTCTGAGGGACGTAACAACAACAACTTGCAGTTAGTTATGCAGTGCCCTTCATGTGGGGTAGCATCCCAGAGATGGTGGGGAGGAGACTGGTGGCTAAACGTTCACCCACACACGCGCGCGCGCGTGCACGTACATTTCCAATGCAGCCTCAGCACAGTGATCACCCTCTTCGTCCTCCTCCTCCTCCTCCTCTGTGAGATTTTTCCTTTGTTTCTTTTTCTTCTTCTTCCTCTTCAGTTTCACCGAGGACGTGGTCTCTGCCAGCGGGTGGTTCCCGTTGATTTCTCCCTGCGCGGCGACATCACATCCCGGTTTTAGGGGGATTTAAAAGCCCACACAGAGAGAGAGAGAGAGACAGAGCGCGTCAACCTGCTTTGGGTTCCTACCCCCAGCTCGAGCGCTCAGCCAGTGGGGGTTGAGCACTTGAGATACGAAAGGCACTCACTGTATTGATACGTAATGTAATTGTACCCCAAACGCCCCATCGTTTGCTCCTTTGGTTACGATGATGCGAGCGACACTTTAAGCTTGACCTCCCCCCCCCCACCTCCCCACTTCTCCTTGAAAAGCCGTGGGGAAGCACGATGGGATTGCGGCAGATGATCGGAATGCTCGACAACGGCGACAACTTACATTTGTCCTGCGCCTCTCACGTCAGGAGGACGTCCCGAGGTGCTTCAGACGCAATACACGCGGAGCCCGACGGGGCTCAAGCCGTCGCAGAACTAAATGTAGTGACCGGATGCAATCAAACTGGTGGTGGTGATTGTTGGGTGCGCGCAAATTGGGAGAATGTACAAGACACATTGAGTTACCCCCCCTCCTCCCCCATCCCACCCCACCTAGCCCACCACCCCCACCCGAAAGCCCAGTGCCAGCACTCGGGGACGCCACCAGATACGGAGGGAGAGGGGCTTCCTTGCCACGAACTAACCTGCATCGGGGCAGAGTCAACGCCACCAACCTCCTCCTCCTCCTCGACCCTCGGTCGCTTCTGCTTCTTCTTGCCCCGGGGCTGGGCCTGGCCGCGGCTCTGGGGCGATTCGGGGCCGATGAGACCCCCCCCCACCTCGGAGTCGGGCTGCTCTCTCCATCGCTGCTTTCTCTTGCCGTCGGTTTTCTTCTTCTTGCTCCTCTTTATCTCGGGACCCGAGCGAGTGCCCCCGTCCGGCGACCGAGCTCCAGGAGCGCAGCCCTTGCCGGGGAATCTGCCGGGCGAAGCCGGGGGGGCGCAGTGCCCCGGTGAGGTAGTTCTGCCGTCCGCCGTCGGAGGAGCGGGCGCCGCGCACGTCTCAGCGGCAGCAGTGGGGGGGGGCGCGATGGTGGTGACGGTGATGGCCACGCGTGGCTCGAGGGAAGCAGGCGCTCGGGGGGATTTTTTGGTGACTTTGGATGGCGAAATGGATCCGGTGCGGTGAGGAATCTGCACTTTTGTTGGAGCAGGCGGGATAGTCCTGGAGCGAAAAGGAGAAACAAACTAAACAAGACAATCCACCGGCGTTCGCTGCGGCCGCCCTCATGCGCCAGGAGGACGGGATGGTAGCGCTAAAGGCAGTGACTCTGCATTTGCTCGGCCGATTCACGCACGCTAACAACAACAACAACAGCAGCAGCAACCAGAACCACCGCCACAACAACTCCTCGCACTTACGAGGAGGGCATCTTTTGCATCGGGAGGGCGTCCCGAGGCGCTGGATGGACAGGGGATTAGCACCCGACCGAGCTCTGGGGGTTAGCACCGATGTTGGGAGGGGGAAAGGCATAGGCCTCGACAATGCAACACCCTCCCACCCACCCCCCCACACACAGCGCTGCATTGGAGCGACAGCTTGAGACCATGCGTGTTCAAGTCCCGATGCGGGGGCTTGAACCCATAAACCTTTCGACTCGAGAGGCGAGAGCGCTACCCACCGCGCCAGGCTGACACATTTCTTTCTCTCGCCCCCCCCCCCCCCCCACCCCGCCCGCCCTTACCTAGTTTTGTCTGCAGGAGAAGCGAATATGTGGTCTTTTTTCACTAATTTTGCTTTGCGGGCGTGAATATCTGATGATGAGAGTGATGGGAAGTGAGGGTCACTTTCTGTCGCTTTCCAGCTGTAGGTGGCCTGCAGTTATTGACATAAATAAAAACTTGGTGGTCTAAAAAAAGTATCCGTGAAAACAAAGAAAAAACATAAAAAGAGGGTATGGCAAAGAAGAATCAGAGAGTTTGCATGGTTAGACAGCCGAAGAAACAAGGTTTGGAAAAAATTCACAAAGACAAGGAAACCAAGTGTTTACAGTAAAAAAAAACTAACGTTTAAAATCAAACACAGTTACAGTATTCAGGAAACCAAAACAAAGAAAAAAAAACCCCAGACATCAATTCTTTTAGAGAGCGACGCTTTATTTTTAATATTTTTTTTACGTTTCTGAGCGGGGAATGGATAAACCGGTCCAAATATTTAGTCCCCCGCCCCCCACCCCCCCGTTTTACGCTGTTCGGGTGAACTCGGCACAAGATCTGTGGCGTTTTCGAAACCACGAACTCTCCCGTTCCAGCAAAGAGCGAGTCAAGCGAGTTTCGTGGCTAGAAAATGCCCGCGTCAACTTGAGGGAGATCCACCGGCAGGCACCGGAAGTCCATTGACATGTCCGTTACAGACAAAAATGGCCACCCTGATCAGACGTTAATTCGCAAACATTTCTTTTTATTATTCATATATATATATATATAATTTTTTAAAAAATCAATGACAAAAGGAGCTCAATTAATACCCGCTAACTCGAGCCACGTTAACAAACTGCTGCGTTTTCCCCCCTACCGCACACCCTCACCCACCTTTTTGGCCGACAGGGCGAGCCTCTTGGCCGGAGGAGGGGACATGGTGCTGGACTGCTCTTGGGCTAGGAGCTGGGGCTTGATCTTGGCCAGGGCCTGCTCCTCGGCTCCGCTCTCAGTCCTCTCCGTGGCCGAGCTGTGCGCCTGGGATTGGGAGTCGGAGTCGGATTCCTCCGGTTCGGAGTGGCTGCTCAGCCCGTTCTTGGCCACGCTGTTGCCGTTCACGCAGTGCTTGGGGGTGCTGGTGCCCTTCGACCTGCTCGAGGCCTCTTCCTTCCCTTTCTGCTCCTGCCCGCCAGTGCCGGCCGCCGACAAGGACTTGGATGAGGTAGATGCGGGCAGACCCTTGCTCTCTGGCGTAGTCGGCTTGGCGCTGTCTCCGGTCGATGATGTCCTGCTGCCACTTCCGCACCCGTTGACCGTCTGACCCTGACTCTGACCCTGAGAAGATTTCGGCTGCAGCTGAGGTAACGATTTCTTAATCTTCTTCAACGACTCGTCGATGAAGGTGGGCGTGGACGCAAGTTTGGCCGGGAGTTTGGGCGACTGGTTGGAGCTGTTTCTAGGGACGGGCACCCCAACTCCCCCGGCGAGCAGCTTGGCTTGAGGAGACTCCAGTTTCTGCGCGGCAGAGATTCAAAGCGGTTACTTAAAACCGACGCCACTCACCCAGCGGGCCGTGCTTTAGATGCACGATTCTATTCTAACGAACCGAGTCACGCTCTCCCCCACGTAAACGGTCACTACACTTTCCCACAGTCGCTACGCTTTCCAGCGAAGCCGCGAAGAACTCTTGAGATGGCCCTCCCAAACGAGGGAGACCTTTTATCAAACGTAACGATTATTGTTATTATTATTTGCGATAGCGTCTTCCACGTGAGGAAGACATCCCAAAGCAGGATATACTGTGAAGTGCAGTGACTGAGTATTTTGCGTATAAATGCGGCTGCCATTCGCGCACAGCATTGCCCCACGAGCAGCCACGGAGCGAATGACCAAGTTTATCAGGTGGGGTGGGGGTTGTCGGCTGGGACACCAAAAGAGAGAGAGAGAAGAAATTCCCTTCTCTTATCGAATAGTGCCAAAGGATCTTCAGCGTCCACTTGAACAGGCACAGACGAGACCACGGCTTAAGGTCTCATCCCAGCACTGCAACGGTGTCAGCCTAAAGCTCCAACAAGCCTTAACCCACAACTTTCTGACTCAAGAGGCCAGAGCGTGATCGCTTTCGGCGCCTTGGGACTTCCTCCCGTCGCGAAAGTCGCTGTACACGTGTGATTACGTGTGTTGTTGCTCAGTGGTCCACTCCTCACACGAATCTGATGGGCAGAGCAGCGGAGAAGGAAGCCAAACAGCTGTTACGGCAGCTCACCTTCAGCCTCTGAGGAGATCCCAGGAATCCGTTCAGCGTCGGTTTCTTCAGCAGGGGAGTCCCGTTGCTGGGTTTGGCCCCCGGCTGCACGGAATTCGGTTTCGACACGCCGCCGTCCACGCTGCCCTTGGCGTTCGACGTCCTGCGTCAGAGATAACAAAACCGGCTTCAACCCTCAATAGCTCTCAAATGGTGCCTCGCAACAGCTGCAGGCTCACAACGGACATCAGTCACCAAATTAACGCTGGAAGCCGCCTCTCTGCATATTCCAAAAACCTCCCAAAAAGAACACGCGACCGGTTAACCTCAGCGGTGACCGAATGCCTACCTTATGTAGAAAAGCACGTAAGCTTGCTGGTTCAACACCACCTTGATATTGCTGAAGTGGACCATCGAATCGTTCATTTGATACCATTGCCCGTTGCTGGCCTGGATGGAAATAAGACGGGTTTCAATTTTAACTTTACTTGCACACACCTTGCTTTTGTTTTTGTTGCACACTCCCCGTCCATCAAAGCACATTCTCTGATTGGGTCATAATAATAATAATACTTGCATTTGATATAGGGCCTTATCATGTCATTGAGACGTCTCAAAGCGCCTCACGGGATATACTGTGAAGTGAATTGCCTGTATATTGCGCAAAATACACAGTCAATTATGCTACGGGACTCCCATTGGAAATCGCAACCTTTACACTCGCGGACGGAAATGGTTTAAGCGTCCAGTCAGTGAGTGACCTTCCTCACCTTGACGTAACAGTAGTAGTGGCCAGCATGACAACTGTAGCCCGAGTGAACCAGCACCGCGTACAGCCCGTAGGTAACCGGCTCCCCATTAGGTTGGGACATGTAGGGCCGAATGTTCAGGTGTTCGGGATAGCCAACGTCCTATTGAAACAAAAGACCATCGAAAACACACCATCAATCCACGCAGTGAGGCGAACACGTGCTCGCTTAGTAAATCAGGTTAAATTAAACGTAATTTAAGCGGCCGAATCTTTAATAAAGAGCAGTGAAACAGTCTTATTTTTTTTTTTTTTACCTTTGTGATTTTGCCACCGCTGAAGTTCGCAAAGCGCTTGAGGGACAGGGTCAGCACGTTGGAGGCCCGATGGATGGAGAAGCGTTTGGTTGCCGGGACCTTCTTCTTGCACCTAAAATGGCTGAGATTGTAGTTATTTCCATCGGCGACAACATTGGCTTCTTCGCGGGCGACATTTTGCGGCGAGAAGAGAATATTTTCTCCCAGCGAGCAGTTGTGACGAGGTATTGAGGTAAGTTGCACAGCTCTCCCCTCCCTCCCTCCCTCCCTCCACCCACTCCCTCCCTCCATCCACACATCACGAGTTGACCTTCCTTGGGGAATGACACGGTTGGCCGAGGGCGGGTGGGGGGTTGTGGGGTGGGGGGGGGAAAAAGGTCCCAGAACTCAACACAGCGACCGGACAAAACGGCAGCGATCTCCCGAGACGTGACCGTACGCGAAGGGCACCGCGTTAAAACAAAAAAAAAACACCCCACGAACGCCAACTGTTTGTGAGTCGCGCTTACTTTGCACACATGTAAGCGTTCTCCCCGCTGAGGATATCGGGCTTCACGAAGAGCTCGAGAGCACGGACGATATTGGGCGCTTGCTGCAAGAGATTCGGAGGAGAATCAGAACAAAATAGTAATACGAAAGAAAATGAATACAACGTATTTGTCTGTAATTTTGTTTTAAGCCGCAGTTCTGTCCCACGCTGCAAATTTCCCCACCGCGTGCAATATCGACGCCCGATTCCCAACCACTTTAGCAAACCGGTTTATAACGGTGAAAAGCTCCCCCCGTACTTACCCTTATTTCAAGAGCGATGTCCAAATAAGGATCATACGTGTCGGATACACTTTTACACACAGAACACTTAACTGGCGTAGGCGGGGTTGGGGTGCGGGGGGGGAAAAAGAGAAGAAAAAGTAGGAATAAGACCCCAAAAAGTACAACAATTGCTTCAATCCTTCATCCTCGCCTCCTCCCACGGTCTCTTTATCGTTCTTTAAATCGCACGTTAAGACTGTACGCGTCTTTTTGAGTTTCTAGGTTAGATTACGTGCTGCAACAGTAAGATGGGGCCGGAGGGGAAAACTACTGCAATCCTCCATCCCCCCCCCAAGTGAGGCTAATCATTCCCTCCTGTGATTAAGATGAACCCAGTTACATAAACCCAATGGTCACCCTGAAGTGTACAAGTGGCGGTGCATTTATCAATGGGGGAAAAACGTCAAAAGCACGTTGCGCAACAAATAACATGAGTTATTACAGTATTATTATAGTATCACAGCGTTTCTCTCTGCGACAGAGACGACTCAAATAGCGACTGGTTTGTTGAGCACGTAACGACTTTCCATTCTGCTTACCCCGTGACCTTAGGTAGCCCCCAAAGATCTGATGGACCAGTGAAGTAGCTTGAGATTGTCGATCCAGCCTTTCGAGCAAAACCGAAAAGATTTAGGTAAGTGACCGCACATTATTCCAGGCATTATTTTGCACCTGCAATCGGGAGCGACGTCACGCCCACACGTTATAAATAATACAACACCCCTTACATATTTATATTCCGAACAGTAATAATTTGCAGGTACGAAAAAGCAGCACTCCCACACAAACTGCTCCGGACACTCTTCACACTGAAAGTGCAACAATTTATTTCTACAGTTCATTACTGAAACGGGTTAGATCTGGGTTAGATCATGCGCTGCGACATGAGATGGAGGGGGAAAAGAAACTACTGCAACCCTCCACCCTCCCCCAGTTAGAACTGCACATGAAGCCAAAACGGCCGCAGCAATATCAACTCCTGGCTTCCTGCCCTAAATAAATGCCCAAATTCCTGGCCGTGGGATTGCCAGGGGTGTCACTTCCTGCAACCGTCGCCTCTGGCCACATACTGATCCAGAAGTTGGCCGTCTTAAGCGCGCAGAAAGCTGAAACCGACCACAGGTCCACGGGCCCGCCCGCCCGCCACATTTACGAGGCAAAAACAATTCATAAAACCTACTTAGTGTAACCGTTCAGACAGGCCTTCTGCATAGCGTCAATTGTGTATCTCAGAAACTCGTGTGCGTCCTCTTGGTTTCCAAAGCGAAAATGCCTCGCGATTTCTGAAATTAGGAACGGTACAAGTTCACTAACTGGGCGCTCGCAAAGGCGGAACGAACCGATATCACAGCTTCGAGCACGGCACGAACAAGTTGGGCAGAACGGCCGTGACTGTGATGTACAGGTAAGGTGCACAGCGAAACTAGACCAATATTAACCATCGCTAATACTAGAAACCCAATAACCTAGTAGTAGAAAAGTGCAGACTGGACAGTAGAACGTGCCCAAATGGACAAGCAATTCTGCAGGAGGAGCTCAAGAGGGAGACTGGATCACTTCAGCACATCTTACGTCGAGGAGCTCAAAGGGAACGTGCATTTCGGAACGATTCATGAGCTAAAGTAAATACAATTCAAAGCGGGTCTCAATAGAAATAAGATTGCAAATATGTCATACCAACAGCCTCGTACACAAGAATGTTGGGGGCATCTTGATAACGTGCTATCGCCTCTCCCACTCTTCTTCCACCCCCCCCACCCAACAGGAGCTGGAAACTTTGGACTCGGAATCTCTCAGGCCAGTGCAAACCTGCCTACAGCTCTCTCACAGACACACACTAGCCCAACGCCGCAAGTTAAAATCCATACTCCCCGGTACAGCCCCTATTAGGAAGGCAGTTATGCTGTGAAACTACAAGTCACAACAAGTCGGGAGTAAGAGTCACAACAGGTCTCGTTCGGCAAAACAACCCGCGTGTCTATGATTACCATTCTTACCGCCACGGCTTTAGCTGACGGTGATCAAAGCTCACTTACTTTTCAGTTCCCGGATGAAGGAGAGGGGCTTGATGGCATTCCCACAGTTGGCAAAGGCCTGTATCAAATGGTTCTGCATGATGCAGATCATGCAAAATCCAGTTTGTGGACCTGAAAAGAGTCGAGCACAAAGAAACAAAGCAAAATGATTGCAAGTGGGCCACGAGTCAAGACCTGCTCATGTCAACGAGCCACGTTCCACTCCCCCCACCCCCAAGCTCCAGCCTAAAGCTCCAGTTCTTCCGTGGCAACATGAACTGGATTAAAAATAATATTATTGCATTTCAGGAGGACATTCTCGAAGCGTTTCGCAGGAAATACTGTGAAGTGGAGTCCTTCTGTATCTTGTAGCCAAACGTAGCAGCCAATTTGCAACCAGCAATGTCCCATGAACAGCCACAGAGTGATGGGATGATTTTTTTAAACATATATACAGTGTTTGGCGGATCGTCGGCGAACACACTGGCAGAGGCTCCCCTTCGCTTTTCGAATGGCGCCACGGGATCTTTTAACGGCCACCCGAACAGGCAGACTGAAAGACGGCACCTCCGATAATGCAGGGCCACCCCCCCCCCCAGCATTGCACAGGAGTATCAGCCTAGCCTTGTGTGAGGTCAAAGTCCCGACGTGGGTCTTGAACCCAAACCTTCTGGCTCGAGAGGTGGGAGGGTTACCAACTGAGCCAGGTTGAACGTGCGTTGCATTCAGTTTCTACGGACGATGCAATTAAGTTCTGGTGTTTCGCTGCAGCCGGTGCTTTTACTTAACGGAAATTCCAATAGTTTATTTCAGGCTGTTGACCCATAAAGCCCTAAAGATGGCCTCCTAATGGTGATTAATGGGGGCAGACTGCAGGGTAAAAGGGAACAAGGTCATAGAAGCTTACAGAGGAAGGGAGAATATATATATATTTATGTGTATGTGAATGAAATTAATTATCTCGCTAAACTCTCAACTCGAGGTCTGTTCGCACACCCGGATGGATTCCCGAGTGCATCCCAGACAGCCACTGACACAATTCCTTCTCAGGTAAAGGATGGATTAATGTCGCAACGCCTTGGGATGTCCTCCCGAAGTGAACGGCATTGTACGAATGCCTCACGAGTCGCTCACGAGAAAGCTAACCAGCAAAAGACCTTCCCAATCGCCAGCACTGTCGTTTCTACAAGTGTTCCGTGCAGTGATTACTGTACGGGCTCCCACGGGTGGGACCATTGGCTTCAATTAATTTGCAAATCCATAGTTAAACGTGTCAAAAAAAAAAAAGCTACCCCTTCTGCCGTGTGCCAGGAGAGGAAGCGTTACACAATTTGATAAATTCAAACGTTCAGCAGCGATCCTCTGCCTGAGGATGGCCCAGGCTGTTTAGTCGAGCAGCGGGTGAGCAATGCAGAGCAGCAAAAAAGCTCTTGGTTATGATGTCCCAGTCAGAGCTGAGCTCGAAATCTCAGCCAAGACAGCACAGGTGTCCTCAGGAAACCTCAAGGTCAGGAAGGGGTAATAAAAATGATGATAGAAGAACATAGAAATCTACCGTATAGAAATGGCCCATCAAACCTGCACTGGCTCACAGAGCAAAGGTATGGCTTCAATCCCCCTGCCCTATCCCCATACCCCTTCGAAACCTTCTCTCTCATATCCCTGTCTACTTCCCTTTTGAAGGCTAAGTAATTATAATACTAATTTGGTCACTCAATCCACGACTGTTTGTGGGACACTGTTGTGCGCGATCGGCTGCTGCGTTTCGCCCACAAAATATACAGTCAATCCCTTTACAGTAATACTCTATGAAGCCCTTTGAGACGTCTCGAAGATGTAATAAGGCGCTATCTCAAATGCAAGGATTACTGTTGTATGTTATTATTACATTGGAGTCAAGAGGAGGAAATAAAATCAAAATGGGAGTTTGTAGCGAGTAAAATACTTCCTCATACATGCCCTCATACACGTCTTCATTACGACCAGGCTCGACTATGCACACGCCTTCCCCAACTCTTTTTCTCCTCAAGCTGCAGATCATCCAGAACTTTGCAGCTCGTGTCCTCTCCCGCACCAGGGTCCATGACCCCATCGCACCCATCCTCGCCCAACTGCACTGGGCTCCCCATCCCTCAGAGGATCGAGTTCCAAATTCTCATCCTCGCCTCCAAAGCCCTTCATGGCCTTGCCCGCCTCCTACCTGCTAACCCCATATCAACCGGTCCGCTCTCTCTCTGCTCAGCAGGCTCCAGCTTGCTCCATGTCCCCCGCCTGGCCCACCCCACCATCGGCAGTCGGGCCTTCGGCCTCTCTGCCCCCACCCTCTGGAACTCCATCCCACATTCCCTTCACCTCGCTCCCTCCCTCACCTCCTTCAATGCACACCTGAAGACCCTCCTCTTCCACCGAGCCTTTGGCCACCCTCCTACTCTCTCTGCCCTCCACCCTCCCTGATCTCAACCACCAACCGCGCCCCCCCCCCCACTCGGGTCTTAATCCCCGACTGTTCAGTGCCTTGGGACGTCCGCCCTATATGAAAGCCACTTTACAAACGTAGTATTGTACTTACATGTTTTACTGTGCTCTTTCGAGAGAAGGTAATTAGCCAGTGGTGGTGTGTAGGTCAAACACTGTATAGTGGAGTTCAGGAAACATGTGTTCCCGAGGTTATGGAGTCCAGCTCCGACTCTGTACACCCGTACCCATTTGAGGGACAACTTCTCCATCGGGAACAGCACTTTCTGTGGGGGTGGGATGCCATCGTCTGGGCTGCCGCTCAAATCGTGAACTGGAAGGGAGAAAGTTAAGAGATATCTGTGTAAATGCATCTAAATATATATATATATACACACACACACACGTTCACCTGCAAAATATAGTCACTCCACTTCACAATACATTCTGTGAAGCGCTTTGAGACGTCTCGATGCTATACCCAATGCAAGGATTATATATGGACGTAAAATCAAGGGAGAGCTCCGAGAGCAGACGAAAGCTGAAGTTTCAGCTATTCCCAGGTACAGGAGATCCGCTATTGATTAGTTTATTAGCTTTGGTGTCCGCCCCCCCCCCCCACAAAGCTCTACGCGAAGGCTGATTAACGGCACAGGAGAGGAACGCGTCTGATGGTTCAAGCCCGAGGGCGACAAGACACGTGGCGGTGAGAGGTACAGTTGGCCGGTTCGCGCACTCGGTACTCAACCACTCTTCAACCGCTCGCTGTGAATCCAACGGCGTTTCCGTTCCTTCGGGAGCGAATCTCAACGGCCAGCTGCTTTTTTTTTTTTTAAACGCAACTTCAAAGCCGCGCCTCAGGGTCGCGCGGCTGACAAAGGTCCAGTCTGTCACCGTGTCGTTTTTTTTATTATTATTATTAATAAAAGCACCCGTTTCAGCCTCGCCGGTTTAAAACCAGTCAAAGCGGACCGGGGTCGACAAGCGAACAGGCAACGGCATGCAGCGGGTTCGTACCTTGCTTTTTACTTGCGATGCTACAAGCGTCTGCGTTCTGGCAGGCAGTCGCCCCGTCACTCTTGGGGTTCAGAATCACATACTTGCTCTTCAGGTTTTCCAGCTGATAGGAGAAGCCCTTGGTGGCCGGTTCGAATTCGATCTTCTGAAGAAGGACCTTCTTGGCTGAGGCCGCGAGCAGTTTGTTCAGGTCGCCTTCGTCTATGGAGTCCTTCCGTCCGGGCTTCAGGGCTTCTTTCAACTTGTCGACTATAGGCATGGCGCATAACTGAAACACACGCACGCGGGAGGGAAGTGGGGGAAAAACATTACCTTCCAGGCAACGCGCAGACTCGGGGACAAACGGCACCTTAACCCGCGGGAGCTCTTGCCCCCGATGAGTAATACCGACGCAAGGTGAGCACTTTGCGGGCAACGGCAGAGAAAAGAACCTTGCCTGACCGTCTGTCACCGAACGTACCCACCTGCTCACACACACACACGCGCGCACACACACACACACACGCGCTCTTTCCACAGAGCTCCCTAAGATGCAACCAGCTGCTTCCCTTCTGCAGAGATAGGTCCAGATGGCACCTCCATTTTCACGAACACTGCAATATTGTCACGAGCGTTGTAAGGAAGACAAAACCTGCTCCCCGCACAAAACGGTTCCAGTTCTACTTAAGTAAGTAGTGGGTAGGTTGCGGTCAGCAGGAACCCAGATGTGAATCAATCGGTGGACCACTTTCCACCAGGTACTAATCCTTCCAAAAAAAAAAAAAACAATAATTTGGTCACTCAATCCACGACTGTTTGCGGGACGCTGCTGTGTGCAATTGGCTGCGGGTTTCGCCCCACAAAGTATACAGTCAATTCACTTTACGGTATGTTCTGCGAAGCGCTTGGAAGCATCTCAACGACGTGATAAGGCGCGACATCAAATGCAATGGTTATTATTATAAAATGCGTCTCCTCTCCTTATTGGAAGTGTAAAATAAAATCCGCAATTAATAATTGCCATTTCTATTGCTGATTTAGGTTTCACCGGTCGGACGCCTGTCTGTGTGTTTCCACTGATAAGATGGCTTTTAACGTCAAGAGAATAACTTCAGTTGTGACATTCTTTTCCCCCAAAACAATCAATAACCCATTTTCCAGGCGAGGAATTCTTAAATAGCTTTGCAAAGAGAGTTCATAGAAGATTGAAGTTCCACGTTTTTTTTAAAAAAATGTACGCCTCGCCTATTTTTAAGACTAAAAGAGAAATCACCATTCCGACAGCTACGCTGATATAATAACACGTGGAAAGTTCGGCTACAAAACGCACAGTACTACACTTGGCAGCAAAGTCTTGCGAGTCACTTCGAGACGTCCTCCCGGGGTGAAGGGCGCTGTATCAAATGGGAGATTTATTACGGTCTCGACGTTCGTTCAACTGGTCTCGTTCTAGAGTCTGTGCAACCGGCTGCCGCGTTTCGCCCACAAAATACGGAGCCAAAGCACTCGACAGTATGTCCTGTGAAATGCCTCGAGGTGGCTCCGCTAGGCGATGAGACGCTCTAGCAAACGCAAGTCTAATCTGGAACTGTTTTCGCCTTTTATTTCTCTTCCGTCTCGGCTCTCGTCCTGAAAACAGCTCATTGGCAGTCGTGGCTTTGTTTCAAACGGTCGCCCCACGGCATCCCGAACCACACAAGGTGAGGAGCTTCTGATTCACTGCAGTGCTCTTGAGGGTTGCAGGGGCGAGGCAAGTCTAGTGAGTCCACATGACCCAATCCTAATGTACCTCCTTGAACACGTGGACTGAAATTCAACCACGACTGAAATCAGCGGCAGGCCACACTGTGTAGCTCGAATCTTTGTGGGGGTGGCAAGGAAGAAAAAAATACTTAACAAACATTTGCATTATTCTCTTCTCTCTCTCTCTCTCTCATTCGGCAGCAGGACTCACTGAGTCACAGTTTGGGAACCTCGACTTGTGGTTAGGGGAGATAATCTGCTCGTACTAATAATCCTTTACGTTGTACACATGGTGTCTCTCACACAGGAAGCGCTTCACGCATGTGATTTTCTGTAAAGCCGTGTATTCTGCAGGTGAGCTCAGAGGCCGAGTTGCCCCACAAACAGCCGTGAGGTGAATGACCAATTGTGTTGGGGGGGGGTGGGGTTGGGGGGGAAGAGAGGTATCGTTGCGTAATTCCTGAGTCATAACAATTGCCCATTAACTATCTGAAGCACGTTGCATGCGTCAGAACAGCAATAATATCGTAATCAGTAACAGGCACAGCAAGAGCCTGGATGGAACATCAGCTGCACCTCCATTATTGCAGCACGCCACTGCCAGGATGGTGAGCCAAGGCTTGGGGACCCCAGAGTGTGTGTCTAAGCAGTTAAAACCGCATAGCTTGCCATTGATATCACTGCCTGGCAAGCTTTCCCGCTGCTTGTCCAGCTCGGACCACCCTACCCATTAGGGCTTTGGCTTGCAGGGCTAACAGGAACTGAATGGGATGATTCCCTGACCCTAACATCCCCTGCCACCCGGGAGGATACCCAGGATGGTAGAAGGCGAACTAGATGGACCTTGGTCTTTTTTCGCTGAGCAATTCCTACCTTCCCTACGACACTGGGGAGAAAAGCAACAAGGTGATAACACACAAGGAGGTTCAGATGATGCTAGAGACAGAGCGAAGCTCAGCTGGCTCGTCTTGTGTCTTCTAAACTCGAGATGTGAGGTTGCGGGTTAAGTCTGAGAAGTGAGTCTCTCCCTCTCCCAACGTCCTAGACAATGAGCTAAATTGCTCGTTCACTTCAAAGGCGGTTTGCAGGACCTTAGCACGTCCATTACAAAGACCGGACGGCAATTACCTGTGGAGTGCTTTGAAGCGTTTCTGATTTCAACCCGCAACTCAAGTGCAAATCCCTCATTGTCCAGCGCCTTGGAATGTCCTCCCGGCGTAAAAGGCGCTGGCTAAATCCAATTTGTTCTTATTGTTTTGACATAATAGTGCTGTATCTAAAGCAGGGATGATTTACTTATTTATACTGGGAAAAGCAGGAGACCCGCTACCTCCTAACTTCACCCCACACTCCTCACCCCATCACCCCTGGAATCCAAGATGATGAGAGACAGAAACCAGGTCAGGATAGGAGTTGTGGCTCCGAGTTTACAGGGGATGAGGTTGGAGCCTCTGCCCGTGTTACTCTCCATCTTTATGCATCTTGGAATGTCACGTTCAACCCCCAGTTTTTGTGACGAGACCAAAGCAGCAAATAACAACAACCACTTGCATTTATATGGTGCCCCTCACGCAGGGTTGTGATCCGGAGACCTTAAATGAATGCCGTAAATAATGCCACTTTGCACGAGCTCATCCTGTACAGAACAGCAGCACAATCGCAAAATACTGCATACACACATATATATATTTATTATATATGCCATTGGGATTCCACCGCTAGCATGGAAGCATGTCACCAGCTCCAAGGAGAGACCCTGTTATCTCTCCCTCTCCCCCCACCTACGAGGAGGGTAGATAAAATACCAGGACACAACCGCCAGCAGCTCCAGACAATTAAACTGAAAGCATTGTAAAGCCCTCTCTAAAATACATGTCCAATCCTTTCCGCCTGGCGCAGGGAGCACTGAGACTAATGGTATTGTTCTCAGAGTGGCCTTCACGGAGGTCGCATGATTCACCAGCCACGGGCTGAGGACATAGACCTTCCTTATGGTGCGTTACATTCAAATAGTAATAAGTAATAATAATAATAAAGAATTCCTTTTACCTGATACAGCGCCTTATCACGTCACCGAGACATCTCAAAGCATTTAACAACAGGATATACTGCACTGTTAAATAGTGGGCGCCACAGGGTATTTTGTGGGTGAATCGAGCAGACGATTTGCGCGCGGCGATGTCCTGCAAATAGCCAGGGAGGCTGAGAGCGATTTGGGGGAGGGGGGGGGGGGGGGGGGATATGAGGCAAGCGGGGCCTTTTTGGAGCTGAGCTAGCCGTTCAAGCCACATTGGGCTATTTCGCCCGCAAAACACAAGTCAATTCACTTTACAGTATAGTCTGTGAAGCGCTTTGAGACGTCTCAAGGGCCAACATTAACTACAAAGGTTACTCTATTATTACCCCCTACGCAAGCCCCGTGCTCTCCTTGCTGACTTCAGTCCACCCCATTACTAGATGTCTTTGCCACCGGGGGAAACAAAGCCACGGTTTTCAGTTGGACTTACCCTAAGGGATCACAAGTTGCGTCCAAATCACTGATCCTTCCAGCCAGTCAACTCTGTTACAGAAAGGTTTCCACTATTCAAAGGTTTGTGAGTAGCTCTATGTCCTTAAAACCTTCACCTGTAAATCCTTCGCCTCCCCGCACCGCTCTACCTCTGTGGTCACCTGCTCTTCCTTCCCCCTTCGATCTCCCTACGCTTTCCAGGAACTTCTCGGGAGCCTTGAACCAACGCGCTCCAACCCTCTGGAACTCCACCCCTCAGTGTCGCCCTCTTTCTTTCTCTCTCTCTCTCTCTCTCTCTCGCGCGCTCGCAATCGCTCTCCGAAAGCCGTCTGAAAGCCAACCTCGCCACCCGAGCCTCGCCACCCGCTGCTCAGTCTCCACCCGTCGCCGTCTCTGCTGCAATGTTTTCGTTGGGAACGAGTCCCGCTGCTACCATTTCAAGCGCCAGCTTCGAGCGCTCGCAAAGCGAGAGAGGTAGAGAGAGAGAGAGCGCGCGCGGGGGGGGGCGGGCGCGGGGCTTCGTGTAACAGTGCCCCCTCGCGCAGTCAGGGTGGACGACCGGAGCGGTCAGCCAACCTCGGCGGAGGCGCGAGTGCTTCCGCGTCACGTCCACCCCAGACAAATTAACTTCTGGCCAACGGTCGCGCGCGCACCACCACCACCACCACCGCCACCGCCGCCGCCGCCACCACCACCAACAACAACAAAATCACATTCGTACAGCTTCTTTCTCTCACGGCCCAGAGGTTTGGACCCGAGCGGAGTGGGGTGGGGGGGGGGGCAGGTAACAGAATCAGGAAAGGGCGGAGAGGTTACGTGGGAGTAAGTAGGACATCTTTAGCAGAAATGAGAGAGGAGGGGAGGGCGGCGATGGGCGGTGGGTGACGGGCGGCGGTGGGGTGGGGGGGGGGGGATGATAATTTTTTTGAGGAGCATCAGCATGCGATCTGAGGTGTCTCAGGCCCTGAAAGATAATATTTTTGGTAAAACAAGAGCCCCAAAATAACAGTTCACAGACACAGACAGACTCTCTCTTACACACACACACACACTTATCTCTCTCTCTCTCTCTCGGCACAGGATTGCAGAAGTATATATATATATATTATATATATATATGAATGAAATAAAATAAAAACCACCCCAGGCTCTCACCGCAAGCGCTGCAGTGTGTTGTGTGATGCTGGATGTGGCCTACATGCGTTTTATTTTAAACACACACACACACACACACACACACACCAGGAATCAGACCAGGATGAAGGGCACCAAAAAAAAAATAACTGCTCCATTTCGATCAACAGTGTACACCGAAGGCCATTGGCTTCTTCTCGGAAAGATATTAAAGCTGTTAAAGCTCCTGAGGTTTTTTTTTTAAAAAAAATATATATATAGAGAGAGAGAGAGAGAGAGAGAGAAATATAAATCACACACACAAAAAAAAATAGGCGCAGATCTGGACCCCCCTCTCCCCCCCCCTCCCCTCTCCTCCCCCCCCACACCCTCCATGCGGGGCAGTCGGACACGTGCTTTAAAGGCAATGAGACACGAGAGCGTTTAGAAGGCAAAACCCCCCCCACACACACACACACACCCCCCACCCCCACCATGTGTGAATGTCATGGGAGGCCACAGCCCTCACTGACAGGGGGGGGGGGGGGGGGGTCAGACTGCTGGGGGTCACAGGGAGGGAGGGGGGGAGGGAGGGGGAGATGTCCTCCCTCTCTCTCTCTCTTCTCCCCCCACCTCCCTCTCTCCCCCCCCCACACACACACACAGTCTAGTCTCCCCCTCTCTCGCCCCCTCACACACACACACACACACACACACAGAGTTAGTCTCCTACCCCCCCACACACAGTGTCTCTCTCTCCTCCCCCCCACACCCACCCTCCCCCCCCCACACCCACCCTCCCCCCCCACACCCCACCCTCCCCCCCCACACCCCACCCTCCCCCACACCCCCTCTCTCTCTCTCTCTCTCTGTCACACACTCTGTCCCCCTCCCCCCCACCCCCTGTCCAGCCCACAGTCTGGTCGCTGACCTGAGTCGCTGAGCTGTGGCTCCGGATACTTTGTAGCAGCAGCTCCTTCCCCCCCACTCCCCCCCTCCCCACACACACACACACACACAGTGCGAGGGCGGGAGCACGTGAGACAGGGGGGGCGGGGCCCGTGCGCCTGGCCCCGCCCCCCTCGCCGTGACGGACACCGACGTGCGGGCGGGCGGGGACGTAAGGGGGGGGGAGGGGTCAGGCAGCTCCGCCAATGGCGTGGCCCCTAGCCGAGCCCGGGTGTTGACGGACGGGCGCGGGGACCAATCAGGAGTCGGAGAAGAGCGCCGCCCCGCCCCCCTCCAGCAAGAGGCCGCGCGCGAGCCTGGAGTTCGCTCCAATGTATCCGTTCGATTGTGTGTGTGTGTGTGTGTGTGTGTGACGTTTGGCAACATTTGGTTACAATTTGGCTACATTCTCCCGCGCTCTCTCTCTCTCCCACACACACAGAGACAACATGGGTTCTGTTTCCTAAACCAGAAATTATAGGTTGGATTTTTTTTTGTCGTTGTTACCTGGAGAGAGGGAGGGAGGGAGAGGGGGGGAGGGAGAGGGGGGGAGGGGGGGAGGGAGAGGGGGGGAGGAAAAGGGAGATGCGGCTCAGGTCTCGGTTACAACATGGACTCCTGTCGCTGCTGCTGCTTCTGCTCAGCATATCCGGGGAGGCGGGCGGTACCAATAAAATACACCCCCCACTCACTCACACACTCACACACACACTCACTCAGCAGTGATTGATGTCTGACGTGTCGGATCAGTGGTCGCTTACACACACACATACATACATACATACCTACACTTACATACTTACACACAGACACACGCACACACATACCCACAGATACACACACATACATACCCACACACACGTACATACATACCCCCCACACACACACATACATACATACGTACCTACACTTACATACTTACACACACACACACGCACACACATACCCACAGATACACACACAACAACCCACCCACGTACATACTACCCCACACACACACACACATACATACCTACACTTACATACTTACACACACACACATACATACCTACACTTACATACTTACACAGAAAAACACACACACATACATACATACCTACACTTACATACTTACACACATACATACACACACATACATACCCCCCACACACACACATACATACGTACCTACACTTACATACTTACACACACACATACCTATACTTACACACAAACACACACATACATACCCACAGACACACACACACACACATATAAGGGTCATCCATGTCTTCAGAGAGAAAGCGAACCCTCCAGGCTCGATGCAGGGCTCGAGGGGCAAGTTCTGCTCCGGAGTTTGGTCTGGCAGAGGAAGGACATGGGAAGGGAAGGAAGGAAGCAGCTTTTACAACTGGGATCAAATAGTCTCGGCTCAAACACCGTCGCAACCCTGGGGGTGGGGGGGGGGTTATTTCGCGTTGTCGGAGGCGCTGTTCTACAGATGAACCGTTCGACCGATGTCCCCAGACTTCTGCCCGGTTCGGGTGGGGGCGTTAAAGATCCCACAGCGCTATTCGAAAAGGAAAAGCGAGTTTATTCTCTCTCTCTCTCTCTCTCTCTCTCGGTGTCCTGGCTTACAATCATGTAAAAAATAAAACTGGTCACTCATCTCCCTCCACGGCTGTTTGTGGGACAAAAGTTTTCGCTACAAAATACACTGTTACTCCATTTCACAGTAAATCCCGCGAAGCACTTTGAGACGTCCTTCTGACCTCTCTCCCCTTTTTCAAGTCCCGCCTGAACACCTTCCTCTTCGACTGCGCTTACGGCTGTTTTTGTTTCAGATTTCCAGCATCTGCAGTATTTTGCGTTTCACTTTACGGGCATATTCTTTGGAGCGCTTTGAATTGACGTGACAAGGTGCTGTGTCAAATTCAAGGATTATATTATCATTACTACGAGATCAAGTGTAAAAACTTGAACTCACAACCTAATGTCGCGGGCGGAGGGCGGAGGAAGTGAGAATCCTTTACCATCTGTGAGTGAGAACTTTACCATTTAGGAACCACGCCCAAAATTGTACCCTTTTGACCTGCTTTGTATTTGCTTTGTATCTCCCTGCCTTACTTCTGATTTCAACCTTTCAGTATTTCTATATTAAAAAAAATCACCAAACAATGTTCCCCGATTCTCCTAACTCTCCCCCACCCGAGCCACACCTGGAACTATAACACATTTGATATGGCGCCTTATCACGTCATTGAGATGTCTCAAGGCACTTGATAGAATATACTGTAAAGTGTACTGACTGTGTATTTTGTGGTTGAATTTTGCAAAACCTTTTTTGCATCTTTGCATCTTATTCTATATATTCTACAGATCCCTGTAACCACTCCAGTGTGAATACTGCACATCCATCGCTGTAATAATGGTAATAGCTTTGTCCTACATCAGACGGAAGTATTTCCTCAATGGCTGCCAAAGCTAATCACCCCTCCCGCCCATAAATAAACTTCAATAATACTAAAAGAAAAATACACGGGAAAATATATATTTTTTAGTCAGACTGCTGTCTGACACACGCGGAAACACACCAACTCGCATAAGAGTATCCAAACAATAATAATAATCCTTGCATTTGATATAGCGCCTTATCCCATCGTCGAGATGCCTCAAAGCGTTTCACAGGATATACTGTAAAGACTGTGAATCTTGTGGGCGAAATGCGGCAGCCAACTGTCCACAACCAACCCTGGAGTGAATGGCCAATTTTATTTGGGGGATTTGTTAGTCAGGAAACCAGGAGAGACCCCCTTCTCTTTTCGATAGTGCCACGGGATCTTTAAACGTCCACCTGAACAGGCAGGTGGGACCTCGGTTTAACATCTCATCTGAGGGACGAGACGAATGAGAGTTCCACGTATGCATTGCCGCCAACACGTGGCAAGTTCCCCCGCGTCTGGAATCGAACGTGCGGTCAAAGCGGAGGCTCTGGCGGTGGGCCTGAAGGAGGCAAGGGGAGGGTGCGAGGCGAAGGATCTGTGGGAGGCAGCCCTGTTAAGGACAACGAGTGCTGATAGACGACGATTCCAATCTCCGCAACCACTCCTGGGAAAGCTGCAATGTCAGTAATTTCCCGCAGGCGGCACTGCTGTGTTGTTCCAGGTTTCCCACTGCAGCGTCATTAACAGGAACTTAGTCATTACTGCAGCTGCCAGGAACCAGAAACCATCTGATTTCTCTTCGACCAAGCCGGCTTTTCCTATTATGAAACCTCAGCCTGACCGGAATCGTTGTTGTCATAATTGCACCGTTCCAGTGGAGTGAACTGGTGGAAAATTCGGCGCGTGGGAGTAAATATTTGATAGATTTCTAAAGGATAGCGGGATTAATGGATAACGGGGATAGGGCGGGTAAATGCAATTAGGTTAGAAGATCAGCCATGATTTTATTAAATGGCGGGGCAGGCTCGAGGGGCCGAATGGCCTACTCCTGCGTCTTATGGAAATTGATTCCACTTTACTTTCTTTTAAATAAAATGGTCAACACAACAACAACAACAATAGAGCATTTCACTTCAGGAGAACACAATAATCCTTGCATTTGATCTAGTGCCTTATCACGTCTTTGAGACGTCTCAAAGCGCTTCACGGAATGTACTGTAAAGTGAACTGGTTATCTTTTGTGGACACCCTTTGCAGGATTTTACTGTGAAGTTGTGCTGTGAATCGGCTCCTTGGGACGTGCTCTATAAATGTAATTTTGCTGTTGTCGACATCCTCCTGACGTGAAAGGCGCTTATATAATAAAATTTTGTTACTATTGTGTGTGCTTCCGGGAGTAAAACCACTGCTGCTAAATAAAGGACGGGAGCACTCGCTGTCTGTCTAAAAGGGTTGTTAATGGATTGCACAGCACGTTTTACGTGATTGAGAACAATTAATGGATAAAAAGGATGCAAGTTCACCTCACTGTTGATGAAGCCACCCAGTGGCAGGAAGCATTGGGAGAATCCAGTACTCTTTTGCCATAATAATGCTATTCCTCACCTTTTATGCAGCACCTTCCGCATCTCGAAGCCTTTCACAGGATATACTGTAAAGAGTAGTGACTGTGTGTTTTGTAGGTGAACGCGACTGCAGTGTCTCACAAACAGCAACTGAGCGAATGGCCTAATTTTATTTGGTGGGGTGGGGGGGGGTGGAAATTGTTGGCCAATTGACATCAATGAAATCGAACATTATTTTGCTCTTGTTGCAGTCGCCCAATTGAAACATCGCAGTTAAAAACACTAAGAAGCAAATCAATGTTTAGGCTGATGTATGGGTGGAATTTCCATTTGAAAACCAAAAAGATGACAGCAGTGATTTTTATGACTTGTGCTGCTCACAGCTCAGCCCTCCCTCCCTCTTGCTCGCTCAAGCACTCGTGATGGACGTGCTGTGATTATTTCCAACGAAAGAACAGTAAACGTGGATGCTTCAGTCAACTGTTCGAACGCGTTGCTGAGGAACAAACTCAAGAGAATAAACAGAGAATCATGGCTGATCTGTACCTCAACTCCGACTTTGCCCCATATCCCTTGATACCTTTACTTAACAAGATAAATCTCTCTATTGTTGTGTTCCTGATGGTGTGAAGTTTAGGAGCGTCTGTTAGCCGGGGTCTCGAAGGCGTTGGTAAACCTAATGGACAGGTTGAGGGCTGAGATCACAATGATACTGTGTATTAGAACGTACGCAACAAAGGGGAAAGTAAGACACAGACCTGAGTTACAGAACAAACTCTGTGTGTATGTGTGTGTATGTGTGTGTGGGGGCGGGGGGTGGGGGGGAGGCAGGATAGAGCTGTTTGGCATTGTTTTGTCGCACAAATTGTCAAGAGATTTGTGGAGTCCTGTAGCTCAGTGGTTAGAGCACTCGCTTTGCAAGCGAGAGACCTGAGTTCAATTCCAGGCAGAGGGCGAAACCTTGGGCAAGTTTCCTTACTCCACACAGAGCCTAATAATAATCCCTCCAAAACCAAAAACAATAATTAAATTGGTCATTTTCAATCTACGACTGTTTGTGGGACATTGCTGTGCGCAATTGGCTGCCGCGTTCGCCCACAAATATACAGTCAATTCACTTTACAGTGTGTTCTGTGAAGCTCTTTGGGACGTCCTCCCGACGTGAAAAGCGCTATATCAAATGCAAGGATTATTATTATTATTATTATAAGAGAGCTTTCCAAGCTACTGTTGATTGACTGCCAATAAATACAGATGAGCTCCAGTGCCAATTCAACAGTTAGCTTTACCGTGCCCGCAAGGGTTCCGTGGCTTTGCAGACGTCCAGTATTAACGACTGGGTAGAATAACAGCCTCTGCTGGAACACACCGCCTGATCTGGCAAGAACTCCGCAGCCTGTTCAAAGCCTTGAATTAATTACTGTGCTGAGAAGCAAAAAAAAAAAGCCGCACAATAATAATCCCTGCATTTGGTAAAGCGCGGACTGAATCATGTCACGGGTGCTTCACAAAAGTTTCTCCAAAGTGTGGTGACGTCCATTTGTAGGTAACCGTGGCAGCTAATGTGCGTATGGCAATGGCCCACTAATTGGGAGGCCAGGACACTGGGAGAAACTCCTTTCTCGGTTTAAAATAGTGCCATGTAATCTTTTAACGTCTCACCTGAGTAGACACAGCCAGGACTTTTGATGTAACGTCTCCAACAATGCAGAGCTTTCCACGTTTTTTTTCTTAAAAAAATAACACAACTCAACGGGAATTGCAACCGTCCTAGAGTCACGTTTAACGCTTTTATTCAGTTAACGCTCGCTGCCCCGGCTTCAATAAAGCGAATGGGTCGTTTTTGTCTGTTGTGCTGGCAGGTCAGAGTTTTTAAAGACGTCTGCTCTCTTGTCAGTCAGGGAATTGGATTAAAAAACCGCTGAGAAAATTTGGCAAACGACAACATTTGTGTTGCACCTTTCACGCCGGGAGGACATCCCAGAGCGCTGGACAGTTAGCACCCGAGCTGGAGGACAGGGAGAGTGTGAGCAAACTCGAAGAGGAGGATCTTGAAGGAGGCAAGGGGGGGGGGGGGGGGCGAGGCGAAGAGACTGTGGGATGGAAGGGACATATGCGTTGTGAGCTAGCTTCATGTCTACCCCCTCACTCGCTCAGGCTCCCAGCAGGTTTGTATGAACAACAACAACAAGATTCCATTTATAAAGCGCCTTTCACGTCAGGAGGACGTCCCAAGGCGCTGAAGCACTTTTGAGAGGTACTCTCTACCTGAAGTACACTATACAAGCAACAACACTTTACATGTGGTTTTACTCACTTGCTCTCTTTTTCCCCCTTCCGCCACACACACACACACACACACACACACTGCATTAACATGGGGTATCAGTGCAAATGCTTTTATGAGGAATGATTCTTACAGAGCAGCTGAATCTCACCCCTTGTTGTTGACTGCTCCTCGGCCACTACGCTTCGAAGCTCTGGAATTCCCTGTCTCAACGCAACCAACATTCAACCAACAAATTGCACTTATACAGAGCCTTTCACGTCGTGAGGACGTCCCTAGTCGCTGGCCTTTTGGGGTCTGAAAAAAAAGCCCTTCAGTGTGTCGTATAGTAATAAATCTTTATTTGATAATACTGTAAATTTTCCATGAATTTAAAGTCCACATGGAATTTTACTACATTATACAGAGCAACACATGCACCAAATGTCTCATTATACTTTTATTTCGCTTACAGATCAAAAAAAAGTAAGTCTCGGACTTTTTTTAATCTTCTACTATCATCGCAAAAAAAACATCAAAGCCTTAAATTACGACAGCATTTTTTCCCCTCCGAATACTTATTACTTAAAGAGCATAGCTTTTAAAAAGAATTATAAGTTAAACCTTTCTATTCTTAACCTCTCAAAAAGAAATCACAGGAGAAATAGATGAAAACCTTAGTGTCTGGGTCTTAAATACAAAGATATGGTATTTTAAGAACAAAAGATGTAGAAAAATAGGTTTTGGTATGAGACATTCTGCCTAAAGCTTTAAGGAAGCTTTTTTTTAAAAAAAAAGGTTGCAAAGGGTGGTTATTGTGAATAAAATGTGTTAAGAAGTTACGCTCCTTTCAATTGCTCCCCCCCCCACCTCCTCCTGCCCAAGAACTTCCTTGAACTTTAAAGCTTCTGGACAATATCTTCCTATTCACTCAACACTGCGATGGCCTCGCACAATCTTTGATCTTGCACTCCTCTTATTTGACAAAAAAAACATTGTGGGAGTTTGCAGAGAATTTTAAATTGTACGGTCAAAAGGCCAGGCCGATTTAAAAAAAAAACACAACACGCAAAAATCTCTTTCTCTGTAATTTTAGCAACCGTGCACTAGTGCATGGCGATGTGTGGAGATGAAAATGAGATGAATAAAATTTGCTGAGTTAAACAAACGTTTAGAAAATCTTAAGGGTTTCTCTACATAAAACTGACGGGTGGGGCGGGGGGAGAAATAACCGTGTTATAATTTGGGACACGCACCCAAATGCACTTACAGACCACGGACAGGATTTTTTTTTTTTCTTTTAAAAAACTTACATCAAGGAATTAAGGAATCAATCCTCACTTTTTTTTTAAAAAAAAAACACGTTCAAAGAGAGCGAGAGAGAGAAAAAAAAACTTTGACCAAATGCTTTTCAATGCTGCAACCTTCTTAAAAGGAAAAAAGGAACACAAAAATGCACGTTACTGTACATCTGACACAGACACAAAAAAAAACCGAACAATGGCAGAATTATAAGTATAAATGCCAAGTTACATATCACCAGACAGTAAAGCAAACAGACCTGCTATATTGAACAGACGAAATTTGGGTTACATTTCTCGAGATTATAGACCACTCTGTCTTTTGCCACAAATTATCGATTGACATTGGCCGAGTTAGGTGTAAATAAAGTTAAGGATCGATCACCTCTAGAAACTCATCCCTGGGTGGAGCCACTCCACGATACCATGCACAAGAGTCATCGCTACGCTTAATGCAGGCGTAGTGTTTGGCCTGACGTCCGTTGATGCTCTTCTCGGTCACCCAGTCCGTCCACAGGCACTCGTTCCGCGACGTGATGTAGCAGGGAATTGACGGGCATCTGACAATCTGTGGGAGTGGGGGTGGGGGGGGCGGGGATGGGGATATAAAAGGACAAGCGTTTCAGGAAGGAACTCTTTCAGGCAGAGGTTTGGCGAGAACGTGGGACCTCGCTGAGGGAAGCTGCGTTTGAGGGCAAATAGCAGCTAACTCGATGCGTTCGTGAGAAGGAACAGTCGTGAGTGGGGTGGGAGGAGGGGTGTGTGTGTGGGCTTGTTATTTTGGGGGGTGGGGGTTGATCAGCCATGACACAAGGAAGTTATTCAGAGTCTCTTACCTTACAGTCACACCCCATTTGGTATCTCTGGTTCAAGCTCTTTTTCTGTGTAGCCGTTAGCATGTCCCATTGCACAATGAAGTCGCACAATGTGATGTACATCTTTCCGTCCCTCTCCAGCTTTCCTGTGGACAGAGAGAAATTCACCCCCGGAATGACTTTGACTGCTCGTCCGTCCGTCATTGAGAGATGTCGATCGCAAGAGTTCAACTCGTGTTGATCATAATAATAATAATAATAATATTTGCGTTTGATACTGCGCCTGATCACGTCGTTGAGACGTCTCAAAGCACTTCACAGGATGTATTGTAAAGTGAAGTGACTGTGTATTTTGTGGGCAAAACGAATCAGTCCAGTATGTCGAAAAGAGTAGACATTCAATGCGCTCTACTGATGGCCCAGCAGGTGGTGCTCAGAAACACTACCTCATGTGAAGGGCACGATATAAATGCAGGTAGTTGGGTAGAACCACCGTATAATGGTGTGGCACAAGCCCAAACAGACCAGAAGATCAGAGGCTTGATTCACAGTCTGAGCTGACTTAGCCTTAGTCAGCAGTGACTGGAGCTCGAGTTGGCCTCAAAGCTCCTGTAGAGCATCACAAGATGGGTTCAGATGAAGAAGACTCTTCAGTCCATCTGATCCCACCCTTCCTGAATACCCATCCTACCGACTTCCGTCACAACATCGAGCTGTCGTTGTTTTTTTGTTTGGTAAACAAGTGCTGTCCTCAACCAACCACCCACCCTTTCTGTTGACATTCCAGTCGTTAATTACTCTCTGGGTAAAGAAATACTCCCTGGTGTCTGTCCTGAAAACTGCTTTTACCTCAACTTGAACAAACGAATAGTACCAAACTCAATTTGGTAAAGTTTTCGTCCCACAGAGGCGCCTGGCGACAGACAACAACAAGCATCGGAGCACTTAAGACAAAAGTCAACGCAGCGAGTTCTACCTGCGATAAGATATTCTTTTCTTCCACTCGTTTCCAGAGTGACGCCGCAGATGGCTGACGATGGGGCAGTAAAGATGTATTCAATGCTTTGTGCTGGTCCTTTGAACATCTGTGGAAGGCACAAATTGCTGGTTAGGCGAGTGCCTTGGAAGAAGATGACAAAGCCCTTTATTGTGGACAGATAGCCTCTCGCACTAGTGAGTTTAGCTGGTGGGCTTTTAACCATCGCTTAAAATAATAATCAATACATCAATAGCATCTTCTAAAGACTGGTCTGCTTAAGTAGTCGCTAACTCAACTTTACAGTTTGAGACCTCTTGCAATCGCAATGGAGACAATGCAAACAGAACACTTTATTGACACATTAAGTGGAGAATGAATCATGGAGATTTCATTCTTGCTGGATGACAAGTGGAGTCAATTAATTTAATTAATCGACTAATCCAAGACTGTACACGTGGGCACTTCCACGGCAAACAGTTTCGCGAAGCGGGCGGAGGGAAAAACCTTACTAGTTATATAAATACTTCCTGGCGCCTCTCCTGAAATTGCCCTTAGCTTAACTTGAACACACATGAAACCCTACCAGCAGTAATAATAATCCTTGCATTTGATACAGCACTTTTCCCATTAGGAGGATGTCTCAAAGCACTTCACTCGATTTACTGTAAAGTGTATTGGCTGCGTGTTTTGTAGGCTAATCATTTTTTTTTTAAAAAAAAAGAGGACCATATATTGCACATTTAGGAAAATGGCTGTAACAAACGGAGTGTTATCGAGATCGGCAACTCTTGCAAGCAATTCCTCTGGGCTGGAATTTACTGGACACAAAGTTTGGCCAGTGTTTTTGAGCACGATCTGCTGCAGTTAGATTTGATACCGTACGCACCACTGAAGAGAAACAGAACAAAACGTTCCCCGGGCACAATTTGAGACATCACTGAGGCCTGAAACATCTCACAGCCCCGATTTTATTTTTTTTAATTTTTTTTACGGTCGACATCTTAACACTTTTTTTTGCAGACGGGCAGAATTTTTGTTCATTTTCATTACCCGCCTCGAGGATTAAATCACGTGCCTGGTGCAAACCTTTAATCTCAGGACTGTTGTGCCTCGAAGGTTGGGAGTTATCTTCCTGCGCTCCACAGGCTAGGAAGGCAACGTACATGTCTAACCAACAGACTTTTACCAGGAGGGAGGGGTGAAAAAAAACTGCCCAATTCTGAAATACTATTCACAGGACCAGTCTGTCCAGTTATGACACGCATCAGTTACACCGCACGCTTCCTTTCCGCCTGCAAAGGTTACCTTTATCTGTTTGATCTCGTACTGAATTCTCTGGATGGGGTTCCCGTAAATGTCATCTCCGGAACTGACCTCCTTGCCTTCCACTACTTTCGCTCTGATCACTGGGAGAAGCGGGAAAAAAAGGTAAAGCATTCACAGTTAAAACAAAAATAAAATAAGAGGTCGTCGGTTTTGAGCGCATTCCAACGCTGTGACGAGCTTTGAGGTGTTCCCCCCACCCCCGATGTGAAAGACGCCTATATGCAAAAGAACTCAATCCACGACTGTTTGTGGGACGCTGCTGTGCGCAATTGGCCGCCGCGTTTCGCTCGCAAGACACACAGTCGATTCACTTTACAGTATGTTCTGTGAAGCGCTGTGAGACCTCACAGCAATGCTATAAGGCGCTAGATCAAAAGCAAGGATTATTATTGGGCACGTATTATCACAGAATCGTACAGCACAAAAAGAGGCCATTCGGCCCATCGAGTCTGTGCCGGCTCTTTGAAGAGAGCAATGTAATGTCAATCCCACTCCCCAGCCCTTTTCCCCCATAACCCTGCAAACCCGTCCTCCTCAAATACTTGTCCACCGCGTTTTTAAAAGTAGTTATCGAATCGGCCTCGACCGCCCTTTCAGGCAATGGGTTCCAGATTCGAACAACTCGCTGCGTGAAAAAATTTCTTCTCACCTCCCCTCGGCTTCTTTTAGAGACTATTTTGAATCTGTGACCTCGAGTCACCGACACACCCACCAGTGGGAACAGTTTTTCCCTTTCTAACCTATCAAATCCCCTCATGATTTGGAAGACCTCTATTAGGTCTCCTCGTAACCTTCTCTGCTCCAATGAAAATAATCCTCACCTCTCCAGCCTTTCCTCATCATCACGGTCCCTCATTCCTGGTACCATCCTCATAAATCTCCTCTGCACCCTTTCCAATGCCTTAACATCCTTCCTATAGTGTGGGGCCCAGAACTGGGCGCAGTATTCTAACTGAGACCTAACCAGTGCTTTATATGGGTTAATCATAACCTCCTGACTCTTGTACTCTATGCCCCTATTTATAAAGCCCAGTATCCCATATGCCCCTTTTAACCGCTTTATCTCCCTGTCCTGCCACCTTCAAGGATTTATTTACCTGCACACCCAGGTCTCTCTGTTCTATCACCGCCCTTAAGATTGTATTACCAGCCTATATTGCCTCCCCTCATTCTTTCTACCAAAATGTATTACCTCGCATTTCTCCACATTGAAATTTATCTGCCATGTGTCTCCCCATTTTACCATTCTATGTCTTCCTGCAGTCGGCTCCTATCCTTCTCACTGTTTACCACCCGACCTAACTTTGTGTCGTCCGCAAACTTGTAAATGGTACTTGCTATACCCAAGTCCAGATCATTTATGTATATTAAGAAGAGCAGTGGTCCTAATACCGATCCCTGGGGGACACCACTGTACACTTCCCTCCAGTCAGAAAAGCAGCCGTTCACCACAACTCTCTGCTTTCTGTCTCCCAGTCAGTTCGGGATCCGCTGCCACTGTCCCTTTTATATCATAGGCTTCTATCTTTCTTACAAGTCTTTCATGTGGCACTTTGTCAAATGTCTTTTGAAAGTTCATATAAAGTACTTCAACTGCACTACCTTTATCCACCCTCTCCGTTACCTCATCGAAAAATTCTATTAGATTTCTTAGACAAGATTTGCCTTTAACAAATCCGTGCGGCTGTCCCTAATTAACCCATATTCTTCAAAGTGAAGATTTATTCTGTCCCGGGTCATAGTCTCAAAAAAAAATTAAAAATTATTATTTTATGTAATTTGTACTGTATGGATCAATGGTGCAGTTTAACTCAAAATGCAATGAGAAGCACCGTTCGCCAATGAATACAGTATAGCCCGCTCTTTGTGACGTTTTATCAAACACAAGGATTTTATTACAGATTACAATGTCCTGGTAAACAACTCCACAGTTCATACATAAAATCAATCACTCATTTCATGGCCATTTGTGGGACATTGCTGCATGCAAATTGGCTGCGGTGTTCATTTATAAAATACACAGTCACAACACAATCTCTCTACGAAGAACTTTGAGACCTTTGGATGTGATGTTCACTCTATCAAATGCAAGGACACATTCGGATCTATTACAAATGCAAGGACTATAAAAAAAAACTTAGGGTGGATTGTGGGTTTCTGCGCTACACACCACGTGTCAGGACAGAGGCTATAAACGTTGATAACAAATACACCCACAGACCTGCAGGACTTCCCTGAACTTTGAGGAGTTTACCTTTCCAATTTGGTTTCGGCGGAGCGATCCAGATGTACGGAATCTGCTAACTCTTCACAAAAGGCTACCCTGACATGGCTAGCTAACTGTCCTAGACAGTCACACCACTTTACAGTATATCCTAACAAGGGCTTTGAGACCTCTCAATGACGTGTTAAGATGCCATAATCATATGCAAAGATTATTATGCATTACCACAAGACAGAAGGACATTGGGCGTTATCTTGTTTGTTTCGCTGCCATTGAGGGATATATATAAATAAAAAACTCCTCTATGTCATCAACACACAGAATTAGCTCCTAAATTAAAACAAAAATACACAGCTAATAGGAATTCTTTGGATAAGGCAGTGTATGGCAGAAATTTCTTCCGAGACACCCACTACTGGGTAAAGTTACCATGGAGAGAAGTCCTTGATGTGCGCTACATTCAGATGTGCTGCCAGTAACTGTGTGTGGTCTCATCTGTGTCGTTTACAAAAGAACTGCGTAGGGGGGGGAAGAGGGGGAAACTGACATGTCATTTATCCCCGTGCACTAATTATTGGGCAGAAGAGAATTTAGGGCGAAAATCTCAAGCGAGAAACAACAACAACAAGATTACATTTGTATAACAAGTGATCAGATGAATTGAATAATAATAAGCCTTGGATTTTATGTATTTGTGGTTTTCATGTCAGGAGTTGATCTCAAAGCGCTTTGCAGGATTCAATGAAGTGTAGTTACTGTGCATTTGTGTTACCTTGGCTTATTTTGAAGGGAATTGGGGGTGGGGTGGGTACATTGTGGCCTCAAGGTCAAGTCCCCAAGTCAGGATTTTGCTGGGGATTGGGTCATTCACTTTGTGGGGCCATGTTATCCCCAAATTGTCTGCCGCCCACCTTAACCAACAAAATGCACAGCGACTACACTTATATTACTGTGACGTCCTCCTGACCTGAAAAGCACTGCATCAAATGAAAGGTTTAATGGTAAATGTCACATAAAAGTCCCTCCTAAATATTGACTGGGTAACGCAGAGGCTATTACACATTTATACATTGGCTACAGCGCTGGCCTAGAGAATAGTCACTGCACTTCACAGTAAATCGTGTGAAGGTGCTACGTATCAAATGCAAGAACTGTGGTGAAATACTACGAATCAAGAAAAAAAATAAAAGATTGTAAACATTGCCAATAGTTTTTCCGAATCTGCAGACGATTCAAACCAGCATTAGAATGCAAATTCATTCGTAATTTTCTACAATCATAAAGAAGGATAATGACCCTCTACACACACCACAGATTACTATACAGCACGTAATTAATTCAACATGTTAGTTACAAACACATCTTACAGAAGCCCTGCAGCAGGTGACTTTGAACTGACTCCAGCTGTCTGTCCACTAATACAGACAAGAGCTGTGATGATAAGAACATGACTGTATTTTCACATATCATCACGACAGTTAAAATTGTCCTATTCTAGTAGTTTTTTTTTCCCCCCTTGGAAACTCTCCTTTGCAACAAGGATTGCAAAGATGATCCATCCGTTTGTTGATGATTTTACAGAACTGAACTTCCATCGAGTGAAACAAACCCTCCAGTTTAATTAGTTTGTTTCCGTGCTCTATCGCACGAGCCCTCGCTCCTCCAATTATTCCCTTTTCCCTCATATAGGCCTCAAGTTTCCTCTTAAATGTATTGCTGGTAAATCTGTTCCACTCAACACCTGATTGACTGCACTTATCCATCCCTGCTGGGTAATTAACCGAAGGTATGTGTTCCAGAGACTCATCTGATGATGAAAGAAGGAAAGGACCCCGTGACTCAAAACCCTCCCTCTGAGCTAGAAATCCTGCAGCTGCAAGTTCAAATAGCCTTTGCCTTGAGTCGCTAGAAACCTTTGCCTTTTAGTCAGAGATGAAACAAACCTTGGAGCCTGTGCGGGTATCCGAAGCCGCTTTTAGTAAGAAATCAATCTCAGAGCCGGTCGCGACGTCAAAAAGGCCAGGACTCGTCTTCCACTGTGTTGAAGGGTTTCGTTCCCTCGTTTAGGAATGAAGGCAGCACAAGCAAAGAGGCAGCAACACAAGCAAAGATTGAACACCATCCGATAGCAGTCAGCGCTTAAGATCCGTATCTAGGAATGGTTCCGATGAAGAAGGCTCTTTGACCCATTTCATCTGCCCCTTCCTCTGCCACCCTTCCTGGCAACCCATTTCCACCTGTCGATCACCTTCCATGCAACTAAATCTTTTCTGGTGTCTGTCCGAAATATGCCCTTCGCCGCCCGAGACATTGACCTCAAAGCTTTGATAGTACTTATCTTCCAAAGTGTACTTCAGATATTCCTTACAAGCTGCTGCCGTTCAAGAAAAAAAAATCGGTAATCAGAAGCAACGATCAATACATTAACGTGAGCGAGTTCAAACATTAATTGCTCTGTTTCCATGGCCAACAATCCCACTGGCTATTCCTGTGACTGATGGAAAAGTCAATTGCATGGAAAGTACACTGTTCATTAAGTCCACAGAGAGCAATGAATACAATGAGCTGCAAGTGGAAAGAATCATTGGAATGTGGCTGTTGAAATGCACCCAGCCTGGACTGGAATGGTGTTTTTAACCAGTGGCGGCCAACCTTTGGCCCACGGGCCAGAAGTGGCCCACGGGGCTGTAAAGAAGCAGTCTCTCCTCCCACCCTCAGACATTTGCACGAATCCATGGCATAAATCAAGAAATATTCAATCAGGAAAAATGATTTTGCCGGTCGACAAAATAAAGGTTGATCACCGCTGGGTTAAACAAAAGTCACAAGACAAGTTAGGAAGCCCTCGGTTGGGCG